ATTTGCCGGAATATTTTGAAGCAAAAAGGTTTATTTGCTTAAAAAAATGTAGAACCCACATAAAAACTTCACTTCATATAAATTTTCTATGGATTAACATTTTATACTTTTCTTCACAAAAGTTTTGATTTTCCCTTTCCGCTTTCTTAGCTTTGCTGCACTTCCGGGCTAAGTTGTCCAGAGACACATACAATCAAAAGTTCTTTAACCGGCGAAATCCGTTTCACTTTAAAATTGTATTCGTTTTTTTTTTACTATTTCATTGCATTTGCCATTTGCTGGGATTTTTCACAAAATTTCTCAACACATTTCAGAGGAATCGCTTAGCATTAGCGCATTTGCTATTAAATAATCCTTTTTTGGTGTTGCAACCGTTTGGAAAGCTCGACAAAGACTAAATCCAACTTGAGTGACTCGAAGGCTCGTTGGTTGGTTGCTTAGCTGCTTGCTTGGTTGGTAGGCTTTTCGTTCGAACGGTCGATGGTTGCTGCACCAACAACTACATAGCGAAGCCGCACATACGACAGGATACAAAAGTATCCTTGTGCATTGGAATAATCGTACCACCGCCGTCGTCTGCATCGTCGTTGTCGTCGGCAAATGAGTGCCATCCGTGCATTGTTGTTTTATCTTTCGTTTGCTTTTAAATTTTAGTTGGAAACTTTCCAAAGCTTGTTTCCAGCAGCTAGCCAAGTCAGCTAGCCAACTTCTTGGTTTTTATTTTATATGTTTGCCTTGTTGTAAGCGAACATTTTACTGTTGTTGTACTTAAGTATTTGTTGGCCAAGCGCCAAATAGCAAACATACATATGTATGTATGTATGCGTGTAATTTGCTGGTACAACAACAACGCATTTAGCCGCAAAACTAACATGGAAAACAGCTGCTTTGGCAACGAATCGTCGCATGGATGGTAAAGCAAGTAAAAAACAACTACTAGGTATGTGAGTATGTATGTATGTATGTATAGCAGCTATAATATTTCGTGTATTACAACAACTAACCGCATGGAATCGCAAGCAAAACAACAACCAACAACAACATGCCCGTTACATGTCACATCGTCGCAACGTTCGATAATCGGCGGTTATGCGGCGATGTTTTACGAGTGTGGTATCCTTTTTTGAAATCGGGGTTGGTGGCCGAGTTGAATTTAGCGACGGTAAAAAATATTTCGAGCATATTTCAACAAAAAAAAAGAATTAAAAAAAACATCTACTTAAACTATAAATTTGGGGGGATGTTTAAAAAATTAAGCAATAAGCTTAATAAAGCACCGTTGCCAAATTTCTATATGCCATTTTACATACTTTCTTCAAATTTTAATAATAATAATCCCAACGGTTTTTACCCTCCATTCCCGCCCATCCACACGAGGGGCGCAGTCCGCATGACGTACGGAACCAGTATTGTAATTGTAAGAAAAATGAGTAAATGATAATGGTATATGGTAATAAACAAAAATATACATTTTTTTAGAATTTTTTAATGTAAATTTTTTTGAAAATTAACATGCATTGTTGCCAATTTCCACGGACCATTTAGATAGCTTAAATAACCTACCAATGCGTAACACACATTCGTAAATTTCACACTTTAAAATGTTTGATTTAAAATACAACAAAAATATGTAATCTACATTTGCTCTGTTGCCAATTTTCACCGCAACTTTGAATATCATATATATGTATGTAAATCTGAAAGTACGGTTTCATTGCCTTACTATAGCTCAATTTCAACGATTGGTTTCTAATTTAAATTCTAAAATACAACTGCAACTCATTATCTCACGTCATCTCACGTTTGATTAATACTCTGATAGTTTTTTTTTTCTGGAAAAGCGAGTTTTAGAACTTATTCGTGAATCATTTCTTCTGAGTTGTACTTACTTGGAAGGATTCCAGGCTTTTCCTTAATCGGTTGTACTTCTTAAACACAAAATAAGTTAATGGGAAACTGAGTTAAAGATTAAAAGTGCTCTTTCAAAAATCTGCGCTGTTGCCAAATTTCTTCTACCTTGAAAGTGTTATTTAAACACTCACTGAATACAAGATAAGAGGATGCTTTTTAAAGTATTTAACAGACATTCTATTGGCTAGCTTAAAAAATATCGAGAAGTATTAAGCAGAATCTGCCTCGGAAAACTTCAGCAAGCTTTTCACAACGTACTTTCTTTTCCAACTTTTCCCTTACCGGCTTTTAAGATCCGGTTGAATGCTGTATTACATAGCTTAGAAAGATAAAATCCTGCATGTTTCTTTTAAAAAGTGCAGAAAAGTCGTGTTTTTCTTGAGAAGAACTTTTTCTTAACCTTTTTTTTCAAATTTTTTAAGTACCTATGACATAAAATCTCAGTTTGACCTTTTTTTAGGCAACAATAACGGGAACTGGAACGCGCTAGACCACAATTTTTTAGACGTTGCCGAATTTCATTTGAAAATAAAAAAAGTCACAGAAGCAGTGCTGTCGTTTTTGAGCTTCTCATACCAAAAATTTGTAGGCTTCTTCTGCTTGCTATTCACCTTTCGGCGCTTTATTTTTAAATGAGCTCTTTTGAAAGCTATGAGGCGAATGACCAGGCAAAGCTAAAAATCCGACGCTTTTACTTAGAGCATTAAATGATTCGTGGTTTAGTGGGGCAGTGAGTTTATTGGAATCCTAATAGAACATTCCTCAATTATTGTTTTAGATGGTTTATAGCTATTGGAGAACCTTTATATGGCATAAAAATTTGTTTTTACGATTCAATTTTATTTGATTTGAATATAAGCTCTGAGCTAGTAGAGACTGATATGCCGCATAGTGTGGAAAAGGAACTTTTTTGTGGCAAAATTTAGGATCTTCAGAAGGAAACAGATGAATTCAGAACAAATAGTTGCATTGGATAAGCAAATAAGTTTGACTTTTTGAGATGAAGAACTCTTGCTTTAGCTTGACTGTTAAAAAGGTCTTTAAAAATAAAGGTATTTAAATTTGTATCTTTTTTCCCCCTGAAAACACTATGCAATGAAATTTTTAAAAAGTTTTAAATATACTTATATTTTTATTTCTGCCCTAACATATTTTTTCTTATTTCAATTTTCTGAGCTTCTCAGCCAGAGAGCTGCATTAGTACAAATAGCAAAAAATAGGATACATCACAGATGGCAAATGACAAACAAACCGGCAAACTCTGCCGGAATTTTCTTTATTTCACGAAGGCAAATAGGTCTACAGTCAAAATGGAAACTACTGCTGAATTCAAAAATTTAGTTTCACGTATGTATGTATGTAGATCGAAAAGACAATTGCTTTTCTTCCTAAAGCCGAGTTTTCATCGGACATTGAAGCGACAAAAAATTTACGCTATTTTAAAATTTCCAATCAAAATATTTTATGGCAGCATTACTTTCATTAATAGTTTAAAATTTCATCCCATAGGATTTTTCTAAATGCCAAAATCATACCGTTTTTTTAATTTTATTTAGAGGTTCCTCAAAGCCCGTGAAGTTTTCTATGTATTTTAGTTGTGAATAAAACACTTTTTCGTGCAAATGGTATAGAATCCTTGAAAACCAATATATTTTATTTTCAGGAGACTTAAAAAAACAAAATCCAATTGTATTTTATAGTATTAATTTTTTTTTTATGGGTCCCCTATGGTATTTTTTGGGGTTTTTGGCTGGCCAATGAAAAAAAAATTACTGAAAAATGGTTAAATAAACAACTGGGAACTAGTCTTTGAAGCCTGCTGAGTCGAAACAGAGTTTGCCGATTGAAATATATTGATTTTCAAGGATTCTATATAATTTCTATGAAAAAGTGTATTTCCCGTGTTAAATACATGGAAAACTTCTTGGGCTGAGGCCCCTCTAAATCTCTCTTTTTTTACAAAAAATAAGCGTTTTTTCGATTTAGATAAATTTGAACTTTTTTTGAAACATCCTAATGTACATACATGTATGTACTGTCATTTGAATTTTACAAAAAAGTTTACGCTATTTTCAATATATGTACATTGGGGAGTCCAAAATGCATGTAAAAAAGTTAAGTCGAAATTTTAATGCTCTCACCCCCTAGGTGGGCAATGAAGGAACTCATTCGAGGTTTTAAGGGGTCCTATCAAAAAGTGAATAATAGAAAATGGTTAAATATACCATAGTGTATTGTTATTGGAAGTCTCCTGAAGAGAAACGATAGAAAAATATTGATGTTCAATAAATCCATACCACTTTAAGCGCTTTCAGCGACCTCTAAATATATTTTAATTTCAAAATAAAAAAACAGGAGTACATTTTTTCGGTTTAGAATAATCCTAGAGGGTGAGCGCATTAAAATTCCGGCTTAACTTTTTTTTTTACCACCCTAATGTACATACGAGTAAAACACAACGATATATTCGAAAATTTTCAATAAGGTAAGATTTAAATTTAATTTTAATTTTTTATTATTTTTTTCACTTTCAAACTTATATCCCAAAATAACTGCGCTCCAAATATCCTCGCTTCCATACCGATTCACACACACTTTAGATATTCCGCACTCCAAACACTAGCTCACTGCATTTTCGAGAACATTTTTACCATCAAGTGCAATCGCCACGATTTTTTCGAACCCCTTAAGAGATGCTGAGTATGTGCCGAAAAGTTGCAGATTACAAACTAAACAACTAAATATTGTGCAAAGTACGAGTACAAATCGCTTCAACTTCCCCACTTGAGCACACACTTGAGAATCGAATATGAATGAAAACACTGCAGAAATATCAGAAATCGAGCACAAGCGTACTTTCACACGAACATGCCACAGCAACACACACACACGCATATATATATATATATATATATATTCAACTGCATATTTATGTAGTGATGTTATAGGCTGCTAGCGCACCTCAAAATCACGCCGTCCACGCCTTAATCCGACTTTCAGCGCGTTGCCTTTAAAACCCTTATTTCAGATGGCTTAACGCCTTAAAGCATGCAGCAACTAACAAAGTTCAATAGCTCAATAGTACATACTGTTTAATACACGAACCACTTGATTTTACAATCAGAGCTGAGAGCTGAGATTTTTTTCGCGTTTACCACACGAGTACTGCACAACGACTGACTGACTTTGGTGGCGCACGAAAGGACTACAGCCGTGAGTCGGTTGCTCGCACTACTTACACAACCCGAACGTCCCCCCTTGTCGTCGATTCTCACCCGGCTCGGCTCAAAACCGTGCCGCCCACTGGAACTGCATGCAGATGAGAGCGTATGTGTGCCTCTAACTTGTGTTGGTATCCGCTTCGATTCGGCACCTACAGCTGTATTTCGACCGACGACAGTGGCGCATGCATAGCAGCGGCCGACACCGCCACGATTGGAAGATTAGCGAAAAATTACGCAATTTCCAGTGCGACAGAATGTTGGGAAGTTTTCCGGCAAATTTCCCAATAACAATAATAACAACAACAAAGCAAACTCTTAA